CATTTGGACCTCTGTGAACGAGGGAGCGGGCAGCAAACGAACGATGGAACTTGGCGACACGAGGGGAGTGGGCGTGCGAACGAAGGAGTGGACCCGATGCGAACGCAGGAAGTGGGCGGCGAACGAGGGAGGGGCGAACGAAACGGCGATTGAGCGAGCAATTTGGACAGGTGAACGAGGGAGCGGGCAGGCAAACGAACGATTGGCACGGTAAGCGAACGAGGGAGTGGGCGGTGCGAACGAGGGAGTGCGACGACGCGAACGAGGGAGTGGGCGGGCGAACGAGGGAGTGGAGTGGGCGAAACGAACGAGCGACGTGAGCGAAGCATTTGCGGACAGGTGAACCGAGGGAGCGGGCAGGCAAACGAACGATTGGCGGGCGCGAACGAGGTGGGCGGGCGAACGGAGGGGTAGCGACGAGGAGTGCGAGCGAACCGAGGGAGTGGGCGGCGAAACGAGGGAGTGGGCGAACGAACGATGCGAGTGAGCGAGCATTTGGACAGGGCCCGACAGACCGCTCGACACACCGCCCGACACACCACCCGACACACCGCTTCGCAGACCGTCTGCCCGCTCGTTCGCCCTACACGCCCACTCACTCGTTCTCTCTGAGGCCCTCGCGTTTGCTCATTCATCCACCGAATCGCGTTCCCCCGTGCCAACCCCGTACGGTCGCCCGTTCACTCACCCACTCACTCGTTCTCTCGAACGCCCGCACGTTCGCCCGACAGCTCGCCCTCCCGACCGTCTTCCCTCGTGCCAACCCGGCCCCCGCTCGCCCTCCCGCAACGCGTTCGCGCGGCCGCTCGCCCGTCTGTCCGCCAGCCGGCTTCGCAGTCGGACGGCGCGCGCGGTAAGCTGATTAACAATTTACGCGTTTTGCATAAAGCGCGCGCGGATTAGCGTCCGGAGCCCCGGAAGCCTCTTACGTTGTCAACCGAGCGCAGCGGCGAAAATGAAAGACTGGCGCCCCCGCCGGACGGGCCGTTGATTTTTAATCCCCGACCTTTGGCCGCGGGGCAGGCCACGCCTCACGTTCCGGTGATTGGGAGGTCGCGGATTCGATCTCGGCGCGGTGCCAGAAGGACAGTAGATGTGATCAACATCGCGAGATTGTAGCGTCTTCTGTCGGAATAGAATTGGTAAGACGATGGCTCTGATCAGTGTTTTCCCTAATCATCCCATGTGAATGCCCTTGAAGAATCGTACAAGCAGTAGCCACGGCCCCAACCTAATCTTTCTTCCAATTCCTCATCATCATCCAATCATATCTTACAAATCTTGGTGAGGAGGGTTTGCGTATCCTGAAAATGTTCACGCCTGCGCTAGGTTTGATTGATTGGTTGAGAATATTGTCATTCCAGGTGCGTCAACTGCTGGTCACTAGTCCCGGAAGTGTATTGCATGATTTTATCATAGAAGATGGAACTGACCTTCCCAAGTTTAATGGTCAATATTCAGCGACGACCTACACGTCGGCTTACTGGATTCTCCCACCAACGACTCAAGCTCTAAGCTCCCGACATGTGTGGTAGTTTAGTCCGTGCAGGTAAGGGGTGAGGATGGGACGGGAAGAGGAAGAAAAGATCGCGCTCGCGCGGAGTCCAGTTTGTTAGGGTACTGCTCCGGCATTTTCCCGGAGAAACCATGACAAACTACTGATCTGAGCAGCTGGAAACTAGACCTCTTCCTCAGACAGCGGCAGAATACGAACTAGCTTCCTAGCCTTCCTTCGAAAATTCTGCCACCGCTGTGTCTCAAATCCTAGATCCTCTCGGCCAAAGGCCCTGCAGTTGTGCCAGTTGATGCTCTGAGACACCTCAGCCCTTTCAGCGCTAGGAGAAAGGAGAAAACAGTGTGTGGAACACGGTATTTGGAGGAAGATGAACATGTTATGTGGAACAAGAATGTTTTGCCCGTTTCGTCAGCGTTGGGGTCAGAGGTGCGTTAGCGTATGCAGTTCCGAATCTGTAAGTGAAACTTGGAAGACTAGAAGGTCCTGGGTTCCAGATCAGACTGTAGACGAAAAGACAACGCAATCTCGGTGATAATTCTGGAGGATCAATGCTAGGATTTTTCTCGGTTCAATTCCAAGCGGGTGCCGGTGTAGTTCGGTAAACAAAGGAGCACGGACAACGTGAGATCTTGCCTTCCACAATGCGTCTCCACTCCCACCATTAGAATTGGAAGATGGGTTGATGTCCCCTCTTCTCATGGCCCTTCCTTTATGATGACGAATGCCTGGGAGTACTATTAATATGAGAGAGAGAGAGAGGACAGATAGGAGGGCAAAAAGATAGAAGAGAGATGAGAAGAGAGCGCGAAGAGAGAATGGAGGCGGGAGAAGACAAAAACGAGATGAGAGAAAGGCGGGATGAGAGAGGACACACATAGAGAGAATAATATAAAAGGCAGAAAGACACGCGTTCACTAGATACTTTTGTGCTGCGCTATAGATTACAGTGTCTACTTCGTTTAGATATCGAAATGCCATCGGTTTCCTTATTTTCATTTTCTCACACGCTACATACGAACTGTAGGGAAAGTTTTGTAATGCAGTGGCAAAAACGGGGAGTTTTCGATCGTGCTGTTACCGAAAAATCCTTTTACTACAAATATTTCTTCAGTACAACCTTGCGTACAATTATCATTGTCTCGTCTATCCTAAGCTCTTCCCAAATTCTCTAAGCGCAAGGTTACAGAAAACAGATCAAGTTTAAAGTTCTCAGCTTACCTTAAAAAAGTTTTTAAATATTTCACAAAAAACTGGCTAATAACATTATATCAGTAAGATTAAGCAAGCAAACGACATTACCAATCTCACATTGTAACAGACATTTACGTACCACGGAACTCAACGATCTTGCAACCGAGTTTGTTTTATCCGGACCCACATAAGTCATTTAGGTTCAGCAATTCGGCTGCACCGCGTTCTGCAAATTTCCCCGAGATTATTTTTATGGCCGTTTGATAGAGGAAATGGAATACAGGTTGCGAGAGTTTTATACTCGCGACCTTTGCGCCAAGCGGAAAGGGCAGCCGGGAATTACAGTGTCAACGCGTTAGCTCGATATTAATGAAAAAGCATGGGGCGCTCACGCCAGTCGGCGGGAAATATGACAAACTGTGCGGAAAGGATTAAGCGCGTTAGAAATTTCAGCAGTACATACACGAATGAAAGCACTAGCAAACAGAGATATTCACAATTTAATCTGTTAAATTGTTAAGACTTAATCCCGATAGAAATGGGCAACAACACCATCGTTCTTTAAGAAATATAAATCTTGACTGACAGTTATCATGTTCTTGTACTGTGGTGTATCAGTGTTTCGTATCCCACTCATTCTGACACCTTTATGTACTTCATTACACATTACGCACTTTATAAGACTCGTTCAAACACTAATTTTCTTGCACAACAGATAGATTATTTTAATAAAATAGTTTCGTTATTATTTTACGTAGTTTATACACAAGGAAAGCGAAAGCGCCTAAAAACTAATAAATTTTGATTTGTGAAGAGAGATGTTTCGAAAATAATACACGTTTACCGGTAAACATTTCAAAAATATCGTTCACACGACAACTAGAGAAATACACTTCGTATTAACAAACGCATTCGGCCAGATTAAAACTGTTAACTGTGCTCCAGCAAAAAGGCAATATGTTGTGTGTCTTCGAAGAGTTAGCTCTATAGTTCGAATCCCGACGTTTGCGATCTTTCCACACCATCTAAATAGGGGAATAAATTTGAACCTCTGTCTGCAGGATTCTTCGGGCGATCTCCTGCACTGGTCGATAGTTGTCCATGTTTTCTCTAATCAATACCAGGCGAATATCGGATAAGTATCTTAAAAATTTGCCATGAGCCGTGCGGAATGATTCCTTCCACTTCCTTTTTTTATCACTTTTTTATTTAAGGTCGCATCAACAGATAATTAGCAACCACTATAGATTAACGATATGGTTAACAGCGATAAGGTGATGGTGAGAGGTGATAGGACGAATACAAATACAACCATGCGCGAGGTGGGACTCGAACCCATGATCCTTCAGTGCGAAGTTGCTACGGCACTGTAGCCTTACCGATCTCGGCCAAACGGACTATCTTCCACTTGCTTGATCTATTCTCTCGCCTTATACATTCACACTTTTACTCACATACATACATATGCACTACATTACTACACACGTCGGGAGTTTAGAGCGCGTCGGGAGTTTAGAGCTGGGACGGAGCCCCGCTTACTGACACACATGGACGAGGAAATCCACACAAGTTGACATGAACCGCCGGCGCCCGTCCTCATATTCCACGGGAGTAAACCACCGCCACCACCACCACCACCACCACCACCACCACCACCACCGGAGGTAAAATAAACTACACTTACGGGATTAACGTAACTAGTGTACACTTTAGGGCGAAATGTAGATGATGAGTCCCTAATCAATCAACACGTACGCACCCGGGTGTTAAAAGTAAGAGATCCAAAACCAGCACGGTTCAGCGCCTATCCAAATAAAACGCCACAGAGATGCACATCGATAAAGACAGACACTTGGCTACGTCCGCCACACCAAAAGCCACAGCAGCCATCAACGGCGCCAAACGACCCCAAACAGGTTCCGCGCCACCCAGCGCAGCGACAGACACACGCGGTGCGCACCGGCGCCAGGAGACACCGGCGAAATAAAGACATGGTTGTCTTCGCCGCCGTCGTCAGACACGACGACGAGGCGGTACGCGGAGGTAATTGCATTTCCATACGCTGCAGCCCGCCCCATAAATAAGCAGAAACGATACCGCAGGCGAGGGCGACCTTGGCGCCAGCGCCGCCTCAACGGTAACAGCACACGCGCGGCTCGCGGCCCATCCGGGAGCATCGCCCGTCCGCTGCTGCGACGCGCCGCCGCCGCCGCCCTTCAGCTGTTAACGCAGCCGCACGGGGATGGATTTACAGATCGATCGATCGATTCCGGGCGTGCCAACGGCTAAGGTCATTGGTTCCGTAAGTGTAGTGCATGTTTTGTTCCGTAAGTGTAGTGCACGGGGCTTGATTTACAGATCGATCGATCGATTCCGGGCGCGATAAAGGCGAAAGTCATTAGTTCCATAAGTGTAGTGCATGCTTTGTTCCGTAAGTGTAGTGCGCGGGGCTGGATTTACTGAGTCGATTGAGCTGAGCTGGATCGCTTGTTACTGAGCTGGATCGATTGAGTCCGGGCGCGCCAACGGCTAAGGTCATTGGTTACGTAAGTGTAGTGCGTGTTTTGTTCACGGTTGGTTGCGGCGTCCTCCCGCTGGATCGCGAGAACGGCTAAAGGCATTAGTTCCGTAATTGTAGTGCATGTTTTGTTCACGGTTGGTTGGTTGGTTGGTTGGTTGGTTGGTTGGTTGATTGCTGCGACCTTCCCCCGCTGGATCGCGAGATCCGGTGCCGATCTAACTCGGTATCCAGTACCAAACCAGGCATCTCCCACCAACGGGGCACCAGCTTTGATAAGCATTAAGCTCGCGACTGATCTCTCAAGAACGTGAAACTGTGTAAGTAACCTGCGAGGATAGGACACGGATGAGGAAAGAAATATCGCGTGCAGTCCGCGGTGTGTTTGTTAGGGTATTGCTCTGGCGTTCGCCGGGTGTTGATCAGAAAACCGCTAAAAACTTCCGATCAGAGCCGCTAGATATAATTCTCCTTCAGACTACGGCTGAATTCTACCTAGGTATGAAGACTGTAGAAATTCTGTAAGTTCCCGCCCTAGCTGTAGTGATGCTGTAATTTCTTCTTCCTTACCGCACACTCCATTTCTCTCGATGAGGTTTGGCCTGACTTGGGTGTCTCGCGGCGAGATCGGAATCTTTTCTAGATCACGAAGGATGCGTGTTACGACTCAACAAACGCAGTAAAAACTTTTATCTCATGATCTGTACTTCCGGAAGTGCGAAATAAATTCCGGCAGCCAAGCCGTTCGCATTTTAACTACAACTGACAAAGATAGCCCCTCCCAAATAAGTACCGAACACTTCTTGGTTTGAAATGTTCTTCTGACGTACATATCTTCACCTGCGAAATCCAAGTTACACACACTAACACATCCGGAAATGCAGATTGAACACCGATGTTTATCAACACCCTCGACATTTATATTCGACATGGAGCACCCTGTGTATGCATTATTATTAATATCTATTAACATCGCATCCGGCAAGGGCCTCCTTCTAAAAAGAGTAGCTTAGTTGAAAAGTCTCCCGAGCAGCCACTCTGAGAAGCTTACACGTCGCGATATACAGTGATATGTCGCGACATTCTGCGCACATGTCGCGATCTAATACAACTGACAAACTTCGTCCGTGAAACACAATGCTGCAGTTTTGCTCCAAGGCTCAAGGCGAATCACTGCTTCAAAAATAAGCGAAGTATCTACACTTGTATTGTACCCAAAGGACACATGCATGACCATTGTTTTATTTTTCAACAGTAAGGTTCTTTGAACCACCATTCTTTTAACGTTCTTCCTACGATAATTGGCACCCTCATCACTTATAAATGCTGTGTGAGCAACCGCCACTCTGGTGAGAACGTGGGCAACTAGCAACTTAATTCTACCGACTTTCCCTGTTTAACATTTAAAATAACAACTCACGCCAAATATTAAAGTGAAATGTTAATGAGAGAAAAGACTTTACTAATCTAAAATTACCCATGAATAACTTGGGAGAGGACACCATGCCAGATCACCCACGAAGTTCACTGACCATCCAGGGTGTTCTGTGAAAATGAGTATATAACCTGGAATTCTATGCCACTTTCGTTCTCGATCTTTCGGCTTAATTGTTTACTCGAAATAGCACATGAATGTCCTTCAACGAGAATTACAAACTAAACTGAATATAAATATCACTGATCCTCGCTTCAAGTGTTTCTCTTCACAGATTTCTTGCCGTTTAGACGCACTTTTTACTCGGAAGAGAAACGAAAACTGATGTGAAAATTATTCCGGCACCGCTGCGTGCATTACGCGGCTCACGCAGCTACGAAGTAAAATGCAAATGGCGTATTTCCCTCGACACGGAAAGGGAAGCCTGGCATTTCGACGAGAGCCACTGAGACGGCCATTTTATGCGCGCTAATCTGTCAGAACGAGTCATTACGTCCACAGCTAATGATCCGCATTAATCGCGCTCAAATCACAGAGCAAATCCTTATTAAATATTCTTTTTAAGCTGGGCTGTTTGTCCGTCGCTGCATAGAACGAGTACCGACTCACTGCCTCGCTATGAAAGGTCGCTGGTTCGAATCTCACCCTGCTCAAAGATGCACGACACTTGTCCTCGTGTACGTGGTGTTGCAGAGGGAAATGAGTTTTTCTACCCCAGATAGGAATTCGTAATTTAGGTCACGATACATTCGATTGGAATATAGAGAGCAACAATGATTATGTTTCTTATTGAATGCATTTGAATGTTCAGAATATAAAACAGCTCACCTTCATCTGCATTTCTGTTTAACGTATCGATTAGAGATCAGTGACCAATAATGAACTTCATATTAGCAATATATGCAGGACTAATAAGTTATTTCAGTACCAATAACAATAATTTATTTTTAGAATGCAATTAGAAAGCGCCATCCAAAATAAAAATCGTGTCAATTTAAACTCACCGCAAAGGGCAGTAACATCAGATACCAGGTCATCACATTTAGAAGCTCTTTCACACTCTCCACAACAATCTCGGGATCTTACCTGCAACAAAGAGACATTTACAAATAATTAGATGTTAAAATAAAAATTCTCATCCGAGTCAACTTAGTAGTTTACATAACAAGGGAGCGAAACGTGTGATTCACGCACGAGGCGAGTTTGCCGTCTGAGCGTAGCGAGGCCGGAAAAGAGACGAATGCGGGAATCACATCGCGTCTATGTCGCGTATACATTTTGCGCCGTGAGCGAAACGCCATGCATCAAGTAAAGGAATATAAATTAAATATCAAATACCTCAAAATATCTCACTTATAACAGTAAATGGTTTCCAGTCATTGTTTTAACACTATCGTTTGTAAATAATAAACAATGACGTCATTAAGACGAACGACAATTGCAAATCCTTACAGATGTTTCGCACACTGTGAAAAAAAAATGGTTGTTTCGCACAGAGAAATGAAAGCACGAGAAATCGCATTTTGTGTACCAAAAAGTAATTTTTTAACATTTGACACGCAAATACCAATTTTGTATACATTTGTTTCAATGTGTCCTATACAATTTTCAAATGAATCCCAACATCCTGTAGTGCTCTACAATATTTGCATCGTTTAATATAATAACAAAATTTGAGAAAATTTTTAAAAAAACTCTTAACGACAATCTCACAGTACTTCCTCTCCACATATCTCCATAAAATCCGAAAGAGCAAATACGCAAATACACTCAAACAAACATTAATCGGACAACACCCTCAAACAAGCAATGACTGTCCGAATATTCAATCAACTCGTGTAAAAAATTCATACCACGTAATTAGACAATCAAATTATAAAGATATAAGTCCATTGCCATTCGTTTTACTTTTTTAGGGATACAATTTTCCATTAAATTGTCAATTCCAATTTTATTTTCAATCGTTTCATACTCCATTCCATACACATTTCACGAGGCGTCGGAACAGACGTCAAGGAACATTTCGTCGTCGCAATTAAGCAACTAACGTCGTGCGCTCTTCGTCGACCGGAAAGGGAAAGAGAAAGTATTATTGTGGGAGACTGGCATTTGCGAGCTGTAATTTGCCGACAGCATGACGCATAATTGAGACAATGACGACACTGTGGTTCGATGCAATGTCTTCGCCTTCGACACAGTTGCCGATCGTTGAAATCCTCAACAGGGAATCCTTAACAGGACAACAGCTACTTAAATAAAAAATCTATGTCAAGAGAAAATTTCTTTACGTTTATTATTAGAAGTTGGATTTGAGAGCCATGCTACCTCTTAAATTCACAAAAATAATCGTGATTGACAGACCCTTTGCTTCCTACCTTTTTCATCATTTGAATTCTACACTTTTGTTTCGTTCTTCGTAACGGTTCGATGCTTCCTGATCTACTCTAAAATGTTTACTCAGATTTCTAATTGATGAATTTGCGAGATGTATCCCGTCACCATACAAATTTCCTTGACTTATTGTTATATTCAATAAATAAAAGATAACATTAACTTAATTACAGTGAGACTTCTCCAGAAATTCGGCAGTTACAACATTCCACCTCCACATATTTTAACTGAAATGTATAATAATAACTTGGTGCATGCGACAGCAAGGATGCTGCATAATAGATTAGCAAGTTTTTTCATGTTCTTGCCATGTAAAGAATTGTCACATTGCAGTATTCGTGAATATTATATATATATATATATATATATATATATATATATATATATATAATTTTTTTTGTTAAAATATAACACATATAGGAATGTTATACCAAAGTTTTTATATGTTGTTTTTGATCCGTGTACGTGCTACTTTTTGGAAAATTATTTTGTGTGGTTTTGCATTTCTGCTGTTTAAGGACACTAGAACTAACAATGGGTGTAATATTCTACAGGTTTGTTACTTGTGAAATTTAAAAACATTTAATGAAACATTACACATTTTAAAAACATTAAATAATAAACATATGTTTAATAGAGAATTGCTTATCAGAAATTGTAAATGCAAAACATAACTTTACAAAGGTATGTCGAGTGTTGTAGCAACGTTACACCAAAGCATGTGGTATTGGAATATCTTCAAAGAAATATTTGTTTTATTACGAGTTTAATTTATTACAGATTTTCTTACGTATTATGCGTTTCTTTCTTGTGCCGAATATTCTTGTCACCACGTACACAGAGTGGAAGTATTTTTAATATGCCCAAATCCAACTAAATTCAACGCCGCGCAAGTATATTCCATCGTTAAAACACCATTTCAGAGAGAGTCTAGAAACCGACAAGTGACTCAAGAATAAGAAAAAACACAGGAGCCATCATACAAATCGGAAATTCAGTGCGACAATATTTTAACGGCGTGACTTAATTGTGTATGGGTGCTCAGTCTTTATCAACGAGGTGAAATACGACAGCAGCAATAACCAGTACTCCCACAGCAGCGCTACTGTCAAAGCGACAAGAATACGGACGCATTTCATAAGGAGCTCGCGTGCAAAGAGGTAATACTATAGGCCTAAGGACATGCGTGTTGCAGGAGCGCGGCATATCTTTCCCGCTATTCCGTGACTTTGCTCAGTTTACCTCGCAGAACCGCATTTCTCCGCTGAATAGAGACACTGATTAAGACAACTCGTTTCGGCGGGTCACAATAGCACGGCACAGAAGAGGTCAACCATTTATTTACGCAATTCTATTTTGGACTTCTAGATATCACCGAAATATCTGGTTTTACACAGTACTCAATGCGATGTGAAAAGGAAGTCAAATGTTAGTAGTTTAATGTAACTAGAATGTTACATTGTAATGAAGCTACACACCACCAAAGATTTTAAATGTTGAAACCAATTAGTATTAAAAATTCATTTGACACACTCCATAAGCCTTACGGGTGGCTCATGGACAACGTGCTTTCTTTGTGAGGCGGTCAAGGGTTCTATTCCCGGCCGTGGCAAAAAAGAAGCTATATATTTCTAATACAAAACGTTTTATTTTCTATAGCCGAGAGTCGAAAGAAAGCTAAGGCAAGCCAAATAATGTAGGTAAGATGAAAGGAATACGTCGTGCTAGACATATGACTCCCTTACCCCAGGCGTGGATAATAAATAAAACACCGATAGATGGCAAAACCGATATATGGCGAAAGTACCTCGTGCCTTTCCTTCAATAAGAGGTTGATAGAAGATTAACATACAAGTTAAGATAGAAGATTAACATACAAGTGCAGATTAGTTGAGGTACATTAAGACGAAAACAATTTTAACAGATTTTCACGACTGATTTTTTTGAGCTCAACAGTTGAGCGAAAGGCAATGGTCCCGTCAATGAACGATGCTTTAAATTCGACCTCACATTATCCACCCTGCCCTAAATACAATGCAACCTGATTATCTCCAAACAGAAGAGAAGAAGAAAATGTTTAAGTCTTCGAGTAACGAAGGCAGAATTTTCATATTTCAACGAAATATTAGAATGAAAGTTAAGACGGGACAAGAAAATTCCAGGTTTTCAGAACTTCGAGCTATCTGCCTGTTACTGAGGTCATAAGAATAAATTTTAAATTAAGCGATTGCCTTGCCAAGGAACTGTTCATCATCCTTTAACCGTTAACCATTACGTTCTCTTTTCTATCTGCTACTGATACTGTCGCTTAATAGCTGGTTTGATTTCATAAAAGAGAGCATTCTTAACAAAAACCATGAACCTCTGTATTATTTTGTAAGTATGAAAGTAATCACAATTTCGATTCTCATCAGTACTCGTGAACCGAATCACGAGATAAATGTTCGCCTACCTACTCCGCACCCAGTATTCCTGCTTCGCGAATAAGTTCGTGTTCATGTAGCAATAGAACAGCTAGCTCAGAGTTTTTTCTGACAGGAATCGCTCCCGCGCCTTATGATCTTGTTCGGCGGCGGTGTTTTTGTGGGAACCACACGAACACTGAGCGCTGCCCGCGGTTTCGGCGATCGGACGTGTGGAAGAGCCAACATCCTCTGTTCCCGTTAGGCTCCTCTTCGCACTCGAAGAATCACGAAGATTCTTCGTCAGATGGTCACGAGGACTTCTACCATCACGAATTGACCAGACCGGCTTGAGGTGGCTCAGGGCATCAACTTATACCACTGCAGTGCCTCTGATCGGGAGGTCTCAGGGTCCGTGTCCCGACGGTGGCAGATTTTCGATACTAGCTAGATATCTAGGTCGAAGACAGCAGTAGTCTGGAGGAGAATTCTAGCGGCCGGCTACCCAGGTCGGTAGTTTTCCGTGATTTCTCCGATCAATACCAGACGAATGCCGGAGTAGTACCCTAGCAAACGATCCACATACCGCGCGCGATCTTTCCTTCCTCATCCTCGCCCAAACGCTCCCCTTTAACACTATTCTTGCATGCACCTCAAAACCACACATGCCGTGAAACTAGTCAGGAGCTTAGAGCTTGTTTCGGTTAAGGAGGAGCCACGATGGGGGGAGGTATCTGGATTGGGAAAACACCGCAAACCGACGTGTATTTCAGCACCGGATCTCGCCATCCAGCGGCTGAAGGACACACGCCAACGTACGTGATAAAAACGTACATTACACTTACAGGACGTTTGAGCATAGCAGTTGACGCACCCGCAAACACGAAATAGTCAATTACGAGTTGACCAGAAGCTCTACCGTCGAGGATCTTCCGCATCGTAATAGAATGTATTTAAAAATAATCAGGACAGACCTCTCGAAGTAATTCGTATCACCAACAACAAACATACGGGTAAGATTCGCCTGACAGCGCCGGAAGTCATGTTTGTCAAAGCGAAATCTCTCTCTCCAGCATTCATAATTTCTGAAGCTATCAACGGATTTCGATTTTCGAGAAGGTACAAAGTTAAAAATCAGCGATAAAGTTATATCAAGCAATGTGTCGAATCCTACGAAATGGAATTGTGCAAGGGGCAAACACTCGAATCTTCGCGAAATCAAAAGAACTGATTCCCTTCGTTCTCGAGGCGTTTAACAAATTTTAGATTTCTCAGTACGAGGTGCTTTAAATTTGAGCCCACAAGCGATACTCTTGTAAAACTACTTAAAAATTAAAAATCATGGTTCTCAATTTGTTCAATGTTTTACGATTCATTCCAAAGATAGAAGTATTTTATGTTAGTTTAATTAAAAAATGAACTTGTATTAATATTTCCTACAAATGACAGCACGTTAACAAATAAATACAGTAGTTACAAGGTCGTTCTACATACGAATATTGGAAAAAACATTGCACTCCTTGAAATTCCTGTTTAAATCAATGTAGAATGTTCCATTTCTAAAGGATGATTTCCATTAATACAAAGCCAAAATTGTGTAACTTTAAATTTTTCAAGTGTTAATATTTCTTAAAGATCGTGAAAATGTCAATTATTGAAGGATGTTTTCCTTCAAAATATACTTATTTGAATCACATGAATAATTTATTTTCACCGGTGTATTTTGCTACGCTCCATAAAATGGAGTATATATAATGAAAAAGCAATACCAATTGATATTTATTTTGCTAATCCCTTGGATTTTATATGGTAGATATGAAGGTCAATTGAAAACAGTGCGGCAAATGGACAGAAAATGGATAATATTTGGAAAATGTTTCAATTCATTACACTATTATGACACATTCATTACACAGAAACAAATTGAACTGTACAATTGCTAGTGTAAAACAAAAATGCAAAGAAATATAAATAGTGTATTCTTCTCACAACCCAAAAATGCTATTATAAGATCAAACAAGGCAATATGTACTAAACAAAAATACGCTAAAATCCTTACTAAGCTTGTCTATCAAATCATTTAAGGGCAATACTCATCGAAATTAATTATATATGAACGTAATAAGGATACGTCAAGTTTCTGCGTGATCCCTCCCTTTAGAAACGAGATCTCTGAACGGAAGAAATTTGATTTAATGCATCTAGCAAGTTGTTCGTTCCCTTGCGAAGCAGGTTAACGACCCTGACGCCAAGGTCTACAGACCCCTCCACCTCCACCCGAATCGATCCACGAGTTTGGGAGGAGGGATTTCGAAGGGTACTGGTTTGCGATGAGGTATTGCTTCAAGGGTCATCACGGTGGAGCAAGAGACATCACGCTGCCTTCCATCACCTCCTCGTCCACCTCCACCACTATTTCTCCTCCCCACCACCACCATTTTCTGATTAAATGATTGATTTTTTCTACGCACTTCAACGCACGCTCTATAGTCATTACTTAGTTCAGCGAATATTTTATTCCACTTCATCCTCAGCTGGGTGGTGAGATCCGGCGTCAACCTACACGATGACTTTGGGGATTCCTTCTCTATGTGTCTCCCCCAGGGGGGGGAGGGCTTGTGGAACCACTACTCATATCAAGCTCCAAACTCCCGACTTATGTGGTGGTGAAGTTCATGTAAGTATATGGTAAGTGTATGTGTATCAGAATAAGGGGAGAGGATAACACAAGGAAGAAGGTACGACCGCGCACAGTCCGTGGCCTATTTGTTAAGATACTACTGTGATATTCGCCTGGTACTGATCAGAAAAAACTACATCGTCGATTAGAGAAAACTGATGATCAGACCAGCCCGATCACTAGAATTCTCCTTCAAATAGCGGTTGATTTCGACCAAGCTCTATACTAACCGCTATGGAAAACCCACATCTCGAACACGTTCGTCCCGGTAAACAAAGATTCGGAGAAAACGAATATGCCACTGCGCTATGTCAACCGGTGCTCTGACAGGGTGTGGCACGTTGGTGACGCCTGGGGTTGGGCACCCCTGCCTGCACGGCGGCACGGGCGATCCAGCGCGCGCAGGTAACACGAGAGGCCTGAGACGTGGCCGCGACGCGATCACGCGCTCCGGTCCAGCAACCGCGCCTCCGACTCTGCCCCCCCCCCCCGCTCGCTCACGCCGCCCGCCACGCCCGCCTCCGCCGCCCCGCCCCGCCCGCCCGCCCGCCACGTCTCTATCCCCTTCCAGCCGCTTCACTCGCGAACGCCGTGCTCACGCCCGCTCTGGCTTGCATCCGCCCACCCTCCCGTCCGCCTGTCCACAGCCTCGCTTTCCGCCACTTCATTTGCCCCCACCCCCCACCCGAAATCAAGGTTCGTCATGGCTCGCCGCCATGCCTCTCCACCCTCTGCCCTCACCCCGCCTTGCCTTTGGAACGTTCGTTTCACAGTGACACTGTTCCTCACTGTCAGTATATTTTTCTAAAGCGGGGGCTCTAAGCTCTTGAGTTGGAAGAACGTGTAGAGCATATAAAGCAGTGCTCAAGAGACGCCATCACCTTTATCACAGTTGTATCGTCTGCAGATATAACCCTAAAAATACACCGTTAAATTAGACAAAATCGAGCGAGTTTGATGGTAATGGAAGCCAAAAATATCATATAATTCACTTAATATATGATTTACCAATTTCGTACTAACATTGTTTAAAAATGCAGATTGAATTAGGAAAACAGAAGTTCATTTTCTTTCGGTGTTGTGGCGATTTTGAGCACTGCATGTATCTGTATGAAGCCGGTCACTAGAATTCTCCATCAGACAGCGGCTGAAACGACCCTCCATATGGCTTGTCG